TTTGTGGCATTCCAAAAATTTTGGGTGGTTGTGTTTTCATTTTCATTAATCTCCATGTATTTTTTAAAGATTTTATTTATTTATTTGAAAGAGAGGGAGTGAGCAAGAGAGAGCACAAGCTGAGGGAGGGGCAGAGGGAGAGGGAGAAGCAGACTCCTCGCTGAGCAGGGAGCTTGACTTGGGGCTCAGTTCCAGGACCCTGAGATCATGACCTGAGCCGAAACCAAGAGTCAGACACAACTGACTGTGCCACCCAGGTGCCCCAGACTCCATGTATTTTTTAATTTCCTATTTGATTTCTTGGTTGACCCATTCATTTTCTAGTAGCATGTTATTTCACTTCCATGTATTTGTGCTCTTTCCAGACTTTTTTCTTGTGGTTAATTTCTAGTTTTATATCTATTGTGGTCAGAAAAGATGCATGATATAACTCTGAACATTTTTTAATTTATGGAGACTTTTTTGGTGGTCTGTTTGTAATCTATTCTGGAGAATGTTCCATGTGAACTTGAAAAGAATGTGTATTCTGCTGTTTTAGAATGATATGTTCTGAATATATCTGTTAAATTCATCTGTTCTAGTGCGTCATTCAAAGCCACTCTTTCTTTGTTGATTTTCTGTTTGGATGATCTGTCCGTTGATGGAAGTGGGGTGTTGAAAATCCCCTACAATTGTTATATCACTATCGATTAGTTCCTTTGTGTTTGCATTTAACTCATTTATGTATTTGGGTGCTCCCATGTTGGGTGCATAAATATTGACAATTGTTTCAACTTCTTGTTGGATTGTTTCCCCTTATGATTATATAGTGTCCTTCTTTTCTCTTGTTTCAATCTTTGTTTTAAGGTCTATTTTGTCTGATGTCAGTATTGCAGCCCCAGCTTTCTTTTGGCTGCCTTGGGCTTGAGTTGAATCAGACTAGGTGTTTGTCAGAGATGTAGTAGCACTCAACTACAGGGTGCTTTCTCTGTGTTGTTCCCTGTGGATCTTTCATTGGCAGGTGGGTCCTGCAGTCTGACCTGCTGTCTGCCCCCAGCCCACTGCTGAGGCTGCAGTTGTACTGGAATGTGTGATTATCTTCCCCTCTCAGGGTGGAGGAGTCACTTTGGAGTGGTACTGGCTCCTGACAGGGCTATTTGCACACTGCCAGACTTGTGGCACCACTTTGGGTTGGCTCTAGCCAAGGGCATGTTGGAGGGAGTTAGGTCTTCAGGAGAATGTGGGGGCAGGGAGTGTAGTGCCAGCAAGGTCTTTGCTGGTCTGCTGTGGGAGGGGACCTGCAACTGACCTTGAAAACTCCTGCCCAAGCTGTCTTGGAGGGGACAGATTGGCAAAGTATTTGGGGTGGGGCATGCTGTTAGCAAGCTAGGTGGACAGTGTTGGTGCTGTGTTGGTTCTCACAAGTGTCCTTGTATCTAGGCTGGTGGTAGAGGAAAAATGACACATGCCAGCTCTTTTGTTCTTGGAGATACCTCCCAAAGATCTCTGCCCCTCCAGCTTATGTTCTGAAATTCGTAAATAATATTATTTCTGTATACCCCAGGCATTTTCCAAACAGTTTCTATGCTGTATCTCAGAGGGCTCTTTGTTGTACTGTCTCTTTAAGGTCAGGGACTCCACCCTCTGGGCTCTCTCGGTACTGAGCCCTCTGATTTTTAAAGTACCAGGTGTTAAGCCCCACTGATTGTTAGTTCCCCCTGGTTTTCAAAGCCAAATGTTATGGGGATTCATCTTCGTCATGTGGGTCCCCATGCCTGAGGTGGGAGTCTGGTCCTCTCCCCTCCATACTTGCTGTGTTCCTCCCTCTGTGATAGAGTCCTGCATGTCCTTTTGGCTCCTGACCACATCTCCACCCTTATTACACGCTCTGATGAGGCCTCGTCTCTACATTTAGCTGTGGAGAGTCTGTTCTGCCAGTCTTTGGGTCATTTTTGGGGTTATTTACATTGATAGATAACACTATCTAGTTGTATCTGTGGGATGAGGTGAGCTTAAGATCCTCCTACTCTGCCATACTTCCAGGAAGTCCCTACAGCATTATTCTTATTGGTTATCCACAAACTCCCCTGAGGTGGATACTACAATTACTACAATTTACATTGAAGAAAAGGTATGGAAATTGTTATTAACTGATCTGAAAGCGTGTTTTCCGGCTAGTACTAGAAGAGCAGAGATTTATATGTGTTCAGTGGGAATCCACTCTATCAAATAAACCCGCAGCAAATTTTCATTCCTATCATTACTGGAGAAGTTAGCATTGGAGATTCATGAGTATGTGACTGTCCTGGGCTAGGCACTGTGACCCACAAGTGGTGTGTAGCTATTTAACGTGCACATTAGAACATACCCCAGACAACACTTTATACTTTGAGAAATGTTGGAATAGGTTATTTTTCAGTGGGAATTAGCATTTCCCAGTGGAATTACCAGAACAATGTGATAGGAATGCTATTAGCAGTAACTCATATTTATTGATTTCTGTGGATTTAATTGACGTCTTATACCTCCACCTTTGATTTCCTTTCCATATTTCTTATTTATTTCACCCAGGTTGTTCTTATTGAAGTAGTATTTATCCAGTACATTCTTAATGCTTCAGTAAACTTTAATGTATTGCAATTCCTTATGGTGTTGGGGGAAATGGAAAGAAACCTAAAGGAAATACTTTCTAATGGTAGAATTTAATGCATTTTTGGTAAGTAAGGGCATAGACCTATTTTTAGGTAGTAGATCTGACTTGTTTCCAAATCATAAGGAGGGTTGCCCTTTATTTTTAGCTACCTCACTGTTCACATGTGGTGTGGAAACAATCATCAGGCTCTGAGTCTTTGGAATTAGATTTTTAAGACATTTATTTCCTTTTTTCATTTTTGTTAATGCAAAATTAGCTATATGATTTTTTCCTCTGATAGTTACTTTATATCCCACTTGTTGCATCCCATTGGTTCTTATATGTCATATTTTCAACACTAATTTTCTAAATGTTTTTCATTTTCCCTTTAAATCAAGACTTTTTAATAGAGAAATTATTGTGGTACAGATAGAAAGATACTTTATTGCTTTTTGTTTATATATTTCTTTTCTAGCTATATTGCACAGTACATTCTTTTTAACATAAAGTTTTTTGTGGCCTACTAAATTATCAATTTTTGTAAATTTTTATGTGCACTTGAGAGAAGGTATATTCTCTAATGACAGAGTTTTGAGATTAATATATGTAACTATATACAGATATATATAGAGAGATATAATATAGATATAGATATTAGGGTTTTTGATTAATTTTAGATCTTCTAAATCCTAAAGTTTCAACTTTTTAATCTGGCTGTGTCTGAGTTGTGTCAATGTCTTATTAGTTCCTATTTCTACTAGAATCTCTTTAACTTTCTACTTTTAAAAGTTTCTTCTTTATTTGGTGGATAGATAATAGTAATTTTTATGTATTCATGGGCAAATGTAATCTTTTTATAAAATGCCCTTCTTTTGCCCTTCTTTCATTTAATACTTTTGTCATTAGATTGTATATCTCTTCTGAAATGAAGATCACAATTCCTACATTTCTTTAAATTAATAGACTTTATTTTTTATAGCAGTTTTAGGCTTACACAATTGAGCAGAAAGTATCCCCAGATACCCTTTCTCTCTGTTAACATGGTTTTTCCTATTATTAACATATTTCCTTAGGGTGATACATTTGTTACCATTGATGAACCAATATTGGTACATTATTATTAACTAAGGGCCATAGTTTACATCTGGGTGAAGTCCTTGAGTTATACCTTTTATGAGTTATGACAAATGTATAATGCTATGTACCCCCATTTCAGTAACATACAGAATAGTTCCACTGCCCTAAAAATCTTCTGTGCTCCACCTATTTATTCCTTCCTCTTCCCAACCCCTAGCAAACAGTGCTCTTTTTACTGTCATTATAGTTCTGCCCTTTCCAGAATGTCTTATGATTGAAATTCACACAGCATATAGCCATTTTATTTTATTTTATTTTTTTTATAGATTTTTATTTATTTTTTGACAGAGAGAGAGAGACAGCGAGAGAGGGAACACAAGCAGGGGGAATGGGAGAGGGAGAAGTAGGCTCCCCGCTGAGCAAGGAGCCCGATGTGGGACTCAATCCCAGGACTCCGGGATCATGACCTGAGCTGAAGGCAGACGCTAAACAGCTGAGCCACCCAGGCGCCCCAGCATATAGCCATTTTAGACAGACCTCTTTAACTTATGCAGTGTGCTTTCAATATGTAAATTCAAATAATTTTATTCTATGATCATTTCCTTGACTTATAGTCTTTTATTGAAATATAATGGACATACAATATTGTATTAGTTTCAGGTGTACAATATAGTGATTTAACAATTCTATACATTACTTAGTACTCAGCATGATAGTCATCACTGTTACCATACATTATTATAATATTATTGACTATATTCCTAATGCTGTACTTTTCATTTCTGTGACTTATTTATTTTATTATAATCTTAGATATTTGCCTAGTTTCAATGCTTTAGTGTTTTTATCAGAGAAGTTCCATATTCCATATGTTGAACTCTCTTGTATGTCTTCCATCTGTATTCCTTTTTCTCATGCCCTTTTTATCTTTTCTCCATTTGTATTTGATAGTTTTACCCTTCCCTTTTTTGTTTTCTCTTTCTCTTACAGTGTTTACCATGATATTCATCACCATTAAGGTTTTTTTTTTTCATTTTAAATGCTTTTGAAATATTAAACTAGAGTTTTTGTCTTTAGTTTTGGTTTTCCCAGAAGGAGACCATGAGAAGAGGATTCAGGTGAAATAGTTTATTTGAAATATGGAGGAAACACATGGGGGGATGATGGAAGTAACTGAGGCAAAGGAAGGAAAGACAGGCAATTGAGTACATTATCAATAATGTTACCTTTCTGGGTAACTAGAGCATAGTCTTCCTGGAGAACTTCAGACACTAAAGCAAAGATGCTGTCCAGAATGATTGGGCATTTGAGCATGCTTACTTCAGCATCACCTATACTAAAAATTGGAATGATACAGAGAAGTTTAGTGTGGCCCCTGCACAAGGATGGCTTGCAAATTTGTGATGCACTCCATAAAGGGTGTTTGAACTAGGTATTTTAAAATTTCCATTATTGATTGAGGTTTGCTCCAGGAGAGCTTTCATTCTAAGGCACTTCTCCAACTCTGGAAGTAGAGAAGTCGAACTCTAGCAGCCAGAAAATGTCCTTGGCAATGACATGGAAATGCTGAAAGTGGGGCAGGTAGATGCCAAAGATGGTGGAGAAGGGGCACTCACAGTGTCACCTTTTTCATCACATTTTTACATTTCACATTTTATATTTCTTTTTGTCACTTTTTTTTCTGGCAGGTTTTATTATTTGGTGGCATGCTATTATGTTAATATAGATATGTTCCCAAGTCCTTGCTTTGTTTTATTAGAAGAACCTTATGTGGAAGCAGCAATGATTCAGGGTAGCTCTCAAGTTCATGGCTCAAGGCACACTCTTGCACCCAGAATTTCTCTATTTCTTCTGGGGTCTGTTTTGGTAAGATTATTTTCTTCAAGAAATTGTAAATTAAATAAATAAAAGTATATCTCAATTTTTGCAGAATTAGAACAAAGATTTTTATGATAACATCTTATTTTTTAAATTTCTTCAATATCTGTAGTGATACTTCATATTTTATTTCTAAATATTGACTGTGTGTGATGTATTTTTATTCTTACTGAAATCTCACCAAGAGTTTCATCATTTTTTATTTGTCTTTTCAAATAATAAACTTTGGCCTTGCTAATAATTATCTTTATTATATGTTTGTTTTCTATTTATTTGATCTCTGCTATAATCCCTCATTATTTTTATCTTCTACTTTTTCAAATTGGATTTTTTCTCTACGTTCATGGAATGTACATTTAGTTAATAATTTTTCAGTCTTTTTTCTTTTCAAATGTAAGTATTTGTGGTAACTTTTCTTCTAATAATTTTTAGCTCTATCCCACAATTTGATATATAGATTTTTAGAGTTTGCTTCAAATTTTTCAAAATCCTTATATTTTCTCTGATCCATGAGTTAATTTTCAAGAAAATCTTTTGTCATTGATTTCTAAATTAATTGTATTTTATTTAAGAAACATGCTTTATATTATTTCATTCCTTTGAAATTTATTGAGCTAGGCTTTAAGACAACATTACATTTGTAAATATTTTACATAGTCTTGCAAAAACATGTATTCTGTATTCATTGGGTGAATTAATGTCCTTATATAAGGTCAGTTTTTTTAATAGTACTGCTCAAATTTTCTTCAACTTCACTGTTATTTTGTCTGTTTTGTTTGTTTGTTTTTACAAATAAATGTTTCAAAGAGTCTTTTTTAGTGAATTGGACACTTTTTCATTCTATAGTATCCATTTGATCCCAAGTAATGATATTGCCTTAAAGTTTATTAAAGTCTTACCAATTTTGTTAAAGTATAGCTATATCACTTTCCCTTTGGGGTACCATTTCAGATATATTTTTCCTTATTATTTTTCATCTTTTTTTTATTATGTTCAGTTAGCCAGCATATAGTATATCATTAGTTCTTCATGTAGTGTTCAGTGATTCATTAGTTGTGTATCTTTCTATTAAGATGACTCAGACATGGGGCGCCTGGGTGGCTCAGTCGTTAAGCATCTGCCTTCGGCTCAGGTCATGATCCCAGGGTCCTGAGATCGAGTCCCACATTGGGCTCCCTGCTCGGCGGGAAGCCTGCTTCTCCCTCTCCCACTCCCCCTGCTTGTGTTCCTGTTCTCGCTGTCTCTCTCTGTCATATAAATAAATAAAATCTTTAAAAAAAAAAAAAAGATGACTCAGACATGAAATTGTCTTTTTTGAGTAAAAATATTCAATATTGTAAAAAAAATCTAATAAATCTGAGAATCACTGTCTTTTAAGTGGATTTTTTAGTCTAGCATATTTAATGAAATTCTTAATATTTAAATTTAAGCCATACAAAATTGCCATTTTTATGTAGTCACATTAAAGATATCCTCACTAGTATTATTTTGGGTGCTTTCTCCAGAGAAATAAGGCAAGCAAAGAAAGAAAGGACAAAAGTATCATTATTTTCAAGTACTATAATACATACATAGAAACCTGAGCAGATATTAGAAATTATTTTTAACAGTTTACAAAGATGCTTAGCTGCTTACTTAATATATGTTCCAATGGAAGCCTTTTAAATCATCAAGAAGAATATAAAAATACAAAAATAATGTCCTTTCACATTAGACAATCAATTAACAAAATACCTTAGAGTAAATGTAAGTACTCTGTAGCACCTTAATGAAGATAATCACAAAATATCATTGAATGATGACATTTATTGAAATGTCATTGAATGAGAAGACTTGAAAAAAAAGAGAGAATAGATACATCTGGATGGAAAAACACATTGAAACTATGTCAATTTTCATAGGTCTTATTTACTATGTCTAAATAGATTAGCAAACACTAAATTATAGTGTTATAGTTCTGTATAACACTTCTGCTTTCATCTACAAGGTATGGGACATACTCTGCAATAAGTTGCAACATATATTAGGCAGCACACTAGTTAAAAAGGAGAGGAAGTTCTGCTTTTAATTTTGTGGACTTGCAAACCCTTTCTGAAGCACTGACATTGGAACTTTCATATATGTGACTGTTTGTATACTTTGCTATGATTTTTGGCATTTATTTTAACAGAACATAAGAAGAAAGATGAAGGAAAAAAAATGCTTACAGCCATACAGAGAAAAATGTTCTTTTTGGAGAATGAATTAAACTTGCAAAATGTCACTTTCTGTTGGTATTAATTTATATTCAGGGGACAGAAATATATTATTTAATATTAGTTTTAGCTCTCCTAGATTATTATGCCTAAAAGTTTCTCTACTATTTTCTTTATATGTCATCCCATAATCAATCTCTCATCCATGTACAGTCCAGTGTGATATTTTATTTATTTTGTTTTTTTTAAAATATTTATTTATTTATTTGAGAGAGAGAATTAGAGCACAAGTGGGAGGAGGGGCAAAGGGGGAGGGAGAGGGAGAGAGAATCTTCAGCAGACTCCCCGGTGAGCACAGAGCCCAATGTGGGCCTTGGTCCCAGGACCCTAATATCATGACCTGAGTAGAAATCAAGAGACAGAAGCCCAACTGACTGAGCCACTCAGGTCCCCCAGTGTGATATTTTAAAGCTAAACAAAAAGAAATCACACCAATCCCTATGTGATTGCTATCATTCCCTATGACTTCCCTTTACAGTTAGAATAAAATGAAAATATAAATGCAACCCCCATGAGCCTACATGATCTAGCCACTCTCTTTCTCTCCTTCCTCAACAGCTATCCTTTTCCATCTCAACCACCATTGTCCCATAACTGAAAGATTCAGTGATAGTGAATGAGGCACAGGAACCATGTCTTGGGTCTTCCCATGAAGTAATGATGGAATCTCTTAGAGCCATCCCGTGGCCCTGAGGAGAACTGGCCTGAAGATGGCTTGAACACCACAGTTGACAGACGGAAAGATGCGAGAACTGTCAACAAGCCAAACCTGGAGAAACGCTTGCTCCAGTATTCTTGTTATGTAAAATAGTAATTCCTTATTGTATAAGCCAAAAAAGCTTACCTAAGACAGTTGGGCATCAGAAAACATTCATCAAAGGGGGATAATTGGATAAAATAAGATAGATGTAAACTTTTGAGTTATGGAACCATAGAAAAAGCAACTATCTAGACTGAGAAAGTGAAATGGCAAAGGTGCCAATTGTCTGATGGATACAGAAGAGATTCCAGACTCACAGGAAGCAAAAATAACAGAGGCAAGAATGAGAACTGGGACAGAAACTGGGAGATTTGTTGAAATAAGTATATGAAAAAGCTAGCCCTACCTTTTTTTCTCCTATGCCCCATGCCCACAGCCAGACATTTTCATAGAAGCATAAACTAGGAGGATCTTTTGCTGAGGAAAATGAACAAATAGGCACAAATAGAAATCCGTTAAATTTTTGTTGAAAGAATGAATGAGCACTTCCTAAAACTTAACATATGCTGCACCATAATGCACAGTAACTAATAGAAGCAGCAGTCAAAAAAGTCAGGAAGAATATATCAGATTTGAAGAATGACCACATTCATATATATATATATAACACTGCATGTAACAATTCCAGAATATGGGGTGCCTGGGTGGCTCAGTTGGGTAAGCGTCTGCCTTTGGCTCAGGTCATGATCTCAGGGTCCTTGGATTGAGCCCTGCATTGGGCTTCCTGCTCAGTGGGGAGTCTGCTTTTCCCTCTCCCTCTGCCCCTCCCCCTGCTCATGGTCTCTCTCTCTCTCTCTTTCACTTTCTTTCTAATAAGTAAATAAAATCTTAAAAAAAAAAAATTCTAGAATATACACTATTTTTAGGTATACATAGAACATTTACTAAAATTAAATATAATGGGAGCTAAGGAAAGTATTAATACATTTAGAAGAATTAAAACTACATCTTACATTTTTTTACCTCAGTGAAATTAAATTTAGATTATCAACAATCCTCCTCTCCTACCTTCCCTCTGCTCACAAATGACTAGAATGTAGTTACCCATTTGGGAATTAAGACAGTGCTTTTAAATAATGCATGAGGGAAATAAAAAATAACAATGGAAAATTTTAAAATATGAACCAAATGATAATATAAATAAAAGATATCAAATTTATGATATGTAACTGAAGCTATGCTGATAGAGAATAGATCATCTAAAATGCATAAAAAAACAAGAAAAGTTAAAGATCAATAATCAAATCAGGGAATTTCTGTTTCCAGTCAAGAAAGAGTTTTAAAGACTGGATTTAACCTCTTATCTGAAACAAAGGAAAATCAGACAGAAAAGTATAAAACAATGACTTTTAAGACACTGAAATTAGATAATAAAGGAAGTAATTGCTGAGAGATAGAAAATACATGGGACGGGGGGGGGCGCCTGGGTGGCTCACTCAGTTAAGTGTCCCCCTTTGGCTCAAGTCATGATCCCAGGGCCCTGGGAAGGGGATCCAGCCCTGCATTGGGGAGCCTGCTTTTCCCTCT